CAGAGAGACGCAGTGATTTGTGCACCATCATGCAGTGACTCAAAGAAGGCACTAAGCACTGGACCAAATTTCCCGAGTCTTTCCTCATTGTATGAATGCTAAACTTTGCCTTTATTATTGCAAAGCCAGGATTCAGCTTTCTCTGTAAATGGGGATGAAGGAGAGGTTCTGGGGGTGCTGCACCATGGGGAGGAGGGAAGGAGGAGCTGAAAGCTATGACTGACCGAAGCAAATGTCAGTGAAAATTAAGGGCCTCTGAAATCAATTGCAAAAGCCAGTCAGGTTCACAGACGGCAGATTTGGGTCCCTGGAATGAAAAGGATATTGTTAACAGCAGCTTGCTGGCAAGGCAACTGCTCTGCCAGGAGCTTTTGGTCTTTAAGAACACAGTTGTTATCCCAAGTCACTGAGGATTTTACTCTTGAGTTTACTTCTGCCACTTCAGGACCCGAGGGTAAATCTCCCACATGCCATGACCGACTGCTGAACCTCACGGATAGAACTAATTTAATTAAGATGGACAGTTTAAAGTTTGAATGTCGTGCCAGTGCTCTCAGCAGCTCTTGCTGCTCAGTGTAAAACAGGAGATCGTACAGATGTTTGATCCATTGGTACATTGGGGAAAAAAACTGGGATAATGAGGGCAGGCTGTGTGACTCTGGGGGCTGAGGAGGTTTGCGTATTTTAGTAAGAAACATGCTTTGCCTTCAGCAGGTCTGCTTTAGGCTGACTTTGCTTTGGATTAGCACATCAAACTAGTAAGCCTTGGAAATGCCATTATTTATCCTTCCCAAATCAGCAGCTCTCATCTTGGGTCAAGGGGAGTCACTCCCTCCCATGAGCCTTAGGAAACACCCAGCAAATGTAGAACAGAATTACCAATTCCCCTGCTGACAAGATGGTGCCCTGTTCTTTGTCTGAAATGTTAGGTTTTCTGTCCAACCCTGGGCTTTGCATGACTTGAAACATCTTCCAGCCAGATTTTACTGTAATTCTTGAAGCAGTGAGATCTGTGCAATTGCAATTCAGGAAGAGCAGATTCTCTCCCAAAGCACCTATACCTAAGGAGTGGGGAACACCAAGGCAAACCTGTGTGACCCCCTGCTTAGTGTCTGCTGGACAAGGAGAGGCTCTGCTGCCTCTTCTGCAAAAGCTGCAAGCAGCTGCAATCCTTTGCTCATCAGGGGCTGTATCTATCAACCTCAGCAATTAACCGGTTGACAGCAAAAGCTGCCCCAGGTTATATTAATGCAGTGATTCTGGAACAGCTCATCCCAGCAGGATGAGGCTATTAGGGATGGCTCCCACCCTGTCCTTTGCAATGTCTCCATCAGTGAGCAGGGGAGAAGATATTCAGGTTTAAAGATCTTCTCAACTGTCTCCAGGTTCTCCTTCGACCTGGACCTTGGTAATTTCAGCTGTTTTTTCTACACTTGACCGAAGATGCTCAGAGCAGGCTGAGTACCCCCTGCACCTTTCTGTTGCTTTGCTGGGCTGGGGAAAAAGTAAAAGCCTCTTTGTTGACTGCAGATGTGCATATGAATGTGAGGCATTTGCCTAATAAATATCTTCCCAAAAGGGGATTAATTAGCATCCCAAGGTTTTCTCATTGCACTCCCTCTGACTGCAGCAGCTCTGCAGCACCTTTTCTTAGGGACGCTGGTTTCCTGCTGAGAGCGTGTTGCTGGCCGCATTCCCACTGCACAGACCCCCAGGGCTGAGGATTCACAAATTTCTGGCTCAGAAGCCAACATTGGCAGCAGCTCCCGTGCTGTGCAAGTGTCTGGCAGTAACCACACACACATCCTGGTTTCCCCAGTCCTGCCATTCACTGTGACCCATCCCAGCAGTGATGAAGGCTCCCTCCTTCCCTGTGTGTCTGGATGCTGTGAATAAGTCACTATAAAACCTGACATGTCAAATTATTTCCAACTGGTAAAAATCCATGAATTGGTAACCAGGGCTGGAGGTGGGATCTGCTGGCACACACAGATCCCTGCTGCTGTTGGAGCTGGCTGGCTTTTGCTTTGGGCACAGACAAGTGGGAAAACAGGCCCCTTTGGAGTCATGGAACCTCACAACCCAATGTGGATCTCAGATAGAATGAATCATGTGCTAAAAGCAGTTGAGTTTATATATAAAAGGGAGTTAAGGGTGACTAGCTTAGCTGTGTAAGTCTCCCTGGGGGATCTCTGAAGATTAATCTCTTCCTACAACTTTTTTGGGCTGAAAGAATTTTGTGGGTTGTGAATTAAATACGAATGTTTCCCAAACAGTGTGCACGCCCACGGCTGGCTTTATCCTCTGTCGAATGGGGATTTTGGAACTTGCATGCACATTTAATGTACAATAACATCTGTGTTGAAGAAAACCTGTTCTAGATCAAAGCAACATTAAAATCTGAGCTATGTAGCAATTACTTGGAGATTTATCTAAAGCATCTCAGTGCAGCCATCAAGAATACTTTCAAACACAGAAGTGTTCAAGGCTAGAGTGGATGGGGCTCAAAGCAACCTGGTCTAGTGGAAGGTATCCTTGCCCATGGCAGGGGATTGGTACTGGATGATCTTTAGAGTCCTCTCCAATCCAAGCCATTCCATGATTCTTTAGAGATTTTAAGCATCTTTGTTTAAGGAGCAGTGTTTTCTGACACTGGATATGAAGTCCCGGGGAGACAACATATCTTTCTTACTTATTATATTTTTCCTGCAAGCTTAGATTTTTTTTTTTTTTTTTTTTTTTTAATGAAGGTTGAGTTTTCCCCCCAAATGTTACCAGGAATTTTCACATCAGTTTTCTGTAGGAGACAGAGCTGTGCAAGCAGACCAAGCTCTGTGATGAATGGGGGAGGCTGTGTTGGGAGCACAAGGCCATGAAGGAGGGGACAGGATTACATGTGTCCAGAGAAAAGCTGAGTGCACGAGAGCATTTATGCACATGGGAATAACACAAGTAGTGTGAGCCAGGAAATGCTCATTTCTTGGGGTTTTCAGTGCAGGACTTTGCACCTTCTCTGTAAATTAGCAGCACTGCTTTGGAAAATTACCTTCATTCACAGTCAGTTCCTTCTCTTGCTGTAAATAACCTCCAGCCACCTGAATTTTGGCTACCTGCTTGGGTCAGCAGGGTAGCACTATTACAAAATCTGCTGTATCATGAACTACTCTGTCAATGTGTATCCATCTCTGCTAAGGAAGAAGGGGAGAGCATGGAGTTATTGACTGTACTTTTGACCAACAGCTATTTTGCTGGTGTTTTAAACAATGATTGTTTTAACTAATGATCACCAAAGTACAGCTGTAGCTTTATGATTGGACTTGGATGAGGAGCATCCTATTTATTCTCCACATGGCAGACACTGCAGCCTGACAGCATGCAGGGGGGAAGGAGTTTGAAAAGGACCAAGGGGAGGTTAAAAGCAAAACGGAAAGGAAATTGGAGCAGAGAAGGTATGAGGATATTCTGAGGCAAGGACAGGAAAATTAAATATTGAATCTAACCACGGGTAGAAAAACCTCAAAATACTACTACTAAATGCCCTGGTTCGAGATGAGTTCTGCAATGATAAGGCAGGAAAAGATGTGGCAAGGTTACTTGAAATTTTTCTGGCAACATTTGAGAGTCAGTTCTGCTGCTGAGCAAAGGAGAGTCACATTTTCAGCTTGCCCTGCAAGGCTGCCCTGTAAGTGCTTGCAAGGTCCAGCAAATGCCCCAACTCCAACAGCAGTGTGTGTGTGTAGCCTAGGGGGAGGCAATATAGATCATCCCCTGTATGGGTTGGGCTCATGTCAAAGCTGACTTTACACTGTTTTATCCAGCACTTGATCCAGCCTGGGATTTTCCTTTGCTTTCATAATGCCTTTCAGCAAGAACCTGAGGCGAATTTTCAGGTATTTCCAGTTTTCCTGCTCAGTGATGGCCCCAGGCCACACTGCTGCAAGACACAGACCACAGATCCCCCTCCCTCTGTACATGGGGTGGGGGGAACACTCACTTCAGATGACACAGAGACCTGTACTCTTTCTGGAGAAGCAACACCTATCACAGAGAGAGCAATCTGACTGATCCTCCCTTCTCTGTCTGGGGGACCTCAAGTTGTTAAAATCACACTTCCCACAGCTGCCTGATGCTTTGTCCTCTTCTCTACAGAGATCCAGGAGTCCAGCATCCTCCTCAGGGACAGTTTGAGCATGGGGACAGGTGTTGGGCATCATCAATCCGGGTCCACAAAGAGGTTTTGGGGGAGCCCTGGGCAAACTCTGAGCTGGCCACAGACAGCAGTGCTCACATGTGCACCCTGCAAAGGGCATTCTGGATATCTGCTCAAGGAAGGTTCCACCCCAAAGTTCATTGGTGGGACAGGAAGATAGACCTGCTGCAGCAGGACACAGCCACACATCTGTTTCACACACTGGTTTCTGGTGTTAGATGCAGACCTGCCCAGAGAACCAGGAGTCCCCATTTTCCATGTGTAGATGAAGCTAGAGCAGCTTCAGCCTAGGTAGGCTCTCTTGAGAAGTCCAGTTTGGTTTTCTCTGTGTGCTGCTCGGATTTTGCTGCAGTGGGGATGCTTTGATCCTTGTGTGCCCTATTTCCTTTAAAACTGAAGTCCTGAAAGCTTGTGAAATTTGAAAGATCTGGTGGCATTTTCATAGTGGTGAGGTTGCTATGTTGAATGCACTGGGCAAATTCAAAAAACACAGTGCCTTCCTATGGCATCACCGTTCAGAGCAATGAGCACAGCCAGGCACCCTGCAGAGGCCAGGGCAGGGAAGGTGCCATCCTGCCATTGTGGGTGAATAAAATTGGGCTGAAACACAGCCAAAATGAGCCAGCCTTGGGTCACTTGTGATCCTGCATTCCCAGTGCTGGCGCTGAGCTGCTCCCTCTGTGTCAGACAGCTGCTGCTGCTGTCTGTTTGTCCAGCTGGGAAAGTGGGTGAGCACCTTCCTAGAATGAAACGACTTTGAATGAAACACACACTCATGGCATTATCCTGCAGCTCACAAATGAATTTGAACTTGATTACAAACAAAATCAGGTCAACTGATGCAGCAGGGGCCAGAGATGCAATGATGGATACAGGCAAGAGGTGCAGGGCTGGAGCTGCAGGGGCTGGATGACAGCAGCTGTCTTCAGAAAATAGCAACCTGTGACCCTGGAAAAAAAGGAGCGTTGCTGTGAGAATACCAACATCACCCAGTCAATGGTGCCAGCCAGCCAGGGAAGGGAAGGAGGCTTTCATGCCCTGAAGATCGACAGCTTCGTGCTGGTCTGGCCCAAGGATGAATTCACTCTGAACTTGGGAAAGGTGCAAGTAGTTCCTTGGGAAACAGAGAGCCGGTCCAGCTTCAGATGCCCGAAGTGCCTCCTGCGTGGAAAGCAGCTAGACAAGCTGATCTCCACACCTTCGAGTTTTGCTCTTGGATTTTTGCCCCACCACGGAGCCAGAGGGAGCCCAAGGCTGCTCTGGGATGCTTGGAGGGGAGCGGAGCTGCTCCGGGGGACGGGGCTGGCCTGGGGAGCTGCGGGCGCTGTCCGGGCCGGGCTAAGGGACACGGGCAGGGCTAAGGGACACGAGCGGGGCTAAGGGACACGGGCAGGGCTAAGGGACACGGGCCGGGCTAAGGGACACGGGCAGGGCTAAGGGACACGGGCCGGGCTAAGGGACACGGGCCGGGCTAAAGGACACGAGTGGGGCTAAGGGACACGAGTGGGGCTAAGGGACACGGGCCGGGCTAAGGGACAAGGGCCGGGCTAAAGGACACGAGTGGGGCTAAGGGACATGGGCCGGGCTAAGGGACACGAGCGGGGCTAAGGGACACGGGCCGGGCTAAGGGACACGAGCGGGGCTAAGGGACACGGGCCGGGCTAAGGGACACGAGCGGGGCTAAGGGACACGGGCCGGGCTAAGGGACACGGGCCGTACTAAGGGACACGGACCGGGCTAAGGGACACGGGCCGGGCTAAGGGACACGGGCCGGGCTAAGGGACACGAGCGGGGCTAAGGGACACGGGCCGGGCTAAGGGACACGGGCCGGGCTAAAGGACACGAGTGGGGCTAAGGGACACGAGTGGGGCTAAGGGACACAGGCCGGGCTAAGGGACACGGGCCGGGCTAAGGGACACGGGCAGGGCTAAGGGACACGAGCGGGGCTAAGGGACACGGGCCGGGCTAAGGAACACGGGCCGGGCTAAGGGACACGGGCCGGGCTAAGGGACACGGACCGGGCTAAGGGACACGGACCGGGCTAAGAGAAGCGGGCCGGGCTAAGAGAAACGGGCCGGGCTAAGGGACACTGGCCGGGCTAAGGGACACGGGCAGGGCTAAGGGACACGGGCCGGGCTAAGGGACACGGGCTGGGCTAAGGGACATGAGTGGGGCTAAGGGACACGGGCAGGGTTAAGGGACACGGGCCGGGCTAAAGGACACGAGCGGGGCTAAGGGACACGGGCGGGGCTAAGGGACAAGGACCGGGCTAAGGGACACGGGCCGGGCTAAGGAACACGAACGGGGCTAAGGGACACTAGTGGGGCTAAGGGACACGGGCAGGGCTCGTCCCGCGCCGCGCAGCGCCGTGCGGGGAGCAGGGAAAGCGAATGCACGCAGACCTCCAGCGGCCCTCCCGAGTACTACACGGCACTGTCACTGTCGCTGTCACTGTCACTGTCACTGTCACTGTCACTGTCACTGCCTCCGCCACCCCAGGGACGGGGACCTCGCCTGAGGCGCCTCTTCTTCCCCTACCCCTGCAAGTGAGTGAAGAAGAGCTCGTGTGCACAGTGAGGGGTCCTGTAGGAAAGCAAAGGGATATGGAAGAGTTACTCCTCTCACCTCTGCTTCAGTGGATGTAACGTTATGGTCTCACCCTTCCATGAGACTGATTTTGCAATAAACCATCTTTAATTGCCTCATCAGTCGACCCCGCTACTCTGTATCCTGAGCAAGTGGCCAGTACCTTAAGGTTAGATAAATAAGGTTGGCTGAGGCTGCAGGCTGTGCCTCAGGTCTCGGGGAGAAGATAGGACAGTGGCTGTGCAGCAGAGAACTGTGTGACACTGCCCCGTGCCAGCCCTGGCTCCATCTCATTTTGAGGCCCAGAGCCTCTAGGAGAGTGCTCCCAGGACAGACCCCTGGAAATGCAGATAAACCTGCCCAGTCCTAATGTGGGTCAGGGACCTGGCGTGGCTCAGCTGCTTACAGCCTTGGAAACACAGAACCCGAGAGCAGGCAAGACAGTCAGGGATTTAGTTTCCCATCCTTGACCATATGCTTTCCTACAACGAGGGACCAGTGCTCAGGAATGCTCAGTGGGAAACACTGAAGGTCCAGAAAAGATCTGCCCCAAGGATTTTTACAGTGCATCACTGGGACAGGCATCACACATAACCTCCCACACACAGGAATGGGTGCAGTTCAGAAACTCTGTGCCTCCCTCCCCTTTACTCCCTCCTTCTTTGAGATGCAGAGGGCCTTTCCCATGGATATCATCCCTCCTGGTGTTCTATCCAGACAGGTACAAGGCTTGAACTCATCAGCTTCATGTGATTTCATCAAAACCCTTCTAACAACCACCAGTTAGTTCTTCATGTGCCTCTATTGTAAACACCTCCATAAGGAATGGTTACTCATTTACAAGGTAATGCTCTACGTGCCAGTCTGCTGCTCCTGCAGCAGAAAAAATAACACTTCGAGAAAAAAAAAAAGTAGCAGTACAAGCCCCTAGGGTTTGATGATGGTTTCCTAGGTTTAACAATGACTCAGGAATTAGCTGGGGGGCTTTTTTCTTCTGTGATCCCTTTGCACCACATGGCTGGTTTTACTTAGTCTAATTCCTTAGCCCCAGTCTCCTCCATGGTTTTTTCTGATTTTCCTGATGACCGTCACCTTCCCATCATGCCTTTTGCAAGAGGCAGAATCATCTCAAAATTCAGGACAAATGATTTAGATACCAATGAGGTATATTGAGTGGCTACAACAAACAGGTTTTATAAGGGGAAAATCAAGAACTGTGCTGAACACAAAAGGGACAATCTGAGGATTTGAGTTCAAGGCTTAGTGTCTAATTTCAGCATGTCCAAGTGAGGATGGAAGCTTGGTAAGAAAAACCTCTTTCCTTTCTGTCCCTCGTTCACCTGCTGGTGCTCCTTGGAGAGTGCTGCTGACTGCTTCGAAATTCAATTTCTGCACTGGCAGTGGCATGTTGGGCCTGGCAGTAATTGCTTTTCCAGACAACCCTCTGCTCATCACTGCCTGCATGCTGGGGGGCCAGAGCACCTGGGATGTAGTGCTGGAATAGTGCCATAAGTCACCGGGCTGTGAGAAGCCCCATGCTTTTGGGTCAGCATGTCCTGCACTCAGCCATGTACTCACTCCATGTGTGGCACACCGAGGTTTGGGGCTCAGTACCTTGTGGTTGCTGAGGAATGGAACCTTGAATCAGCACCACTGAGTCAACAGCCTTCCCCATCCCATCCCATCCCATCCCATCCCATCCCATCCCATCCCATCCCATCCCATCCCATCCCATCCCATCCCATCCCATCCCATCCCATCCCATCCCATCCCATCCCATCCCATCCCATCCCATCCCATCCCATCCCATCCCATCCCATCCCATCCCATCCCATCCCATCCCATCCCATCCCAATCTACCTCGTCCCTGCTGTATGCTCTCACTGTACTCTGGGGTGCCCCTACCTAGTGGGAAAACTTTTGAGGGTCCACAAGTTGCCTTGCTGCTGCTCACCCTCTGCTGTTCCCTGATTACCCCGTGCTATTTCCAGTACATCTCCAGAAAATAGCTCGCTCCCCCTGACACCACTGGCTCTCTACAGCAGGGAGCGAACTCAGCAATTTACCAGAGGGATTCTGATTCTTATTTTAGACTCCTATTTTAGCCTTCTTTTTCTTTCTAAATTTGTTAAGTTAATCCTTTTTGCAGCTCTGGGAGTGAGGTGCAGCATAACAGGGACCCCAGAAAGACTTACTGGCTTCTCAGCCTCACTCCCTGCAACCTGCTTTCCTCACTTTGCCCTCATGAGCCCCCTTTAATTTGGACAATAAAAGATGCTCTGAGCTAAGCAGCTTCTTTTTATTACTATTCTTATTTTTAAAGCTGCAAACATCACCATCTCTTCAACTATAGCAGAGAAGGTGAAACGGAAAATGTGGAGTTTGGGTATGCCTGATCCAGGATGGCAGGGACTGAAAACTTCGGAGTCCTAATGTAAGTCAAAACTGCAGGTGATATCCATTACCTTGCAATCTGCTCCATCTCTCTATCCCCCATTGCAAATAGCCCTTCTCAAGACCATGCTTTGCCATGGGATCTGCCTTGTATCTGCTATGTGCAGAAACCTGGTCTCCAGAAGATCTGTGTGTAACATCTGTGGGTCATCTCAGTTTCAGTGGCTGGGAAGAGGGTGATTTGCTGTGGTCATGTGAGTCTCTTTTCAGTTGTTTTAACACATCAACACGCTGGTACAACCGGCGCAGATGACATCTGTTATTTCTGCAATGCCAGCTATGTATCATCTTGACTCATTTTCTATTAGATCCAGCTGTTCTGGCTGATATGCTATTGACCTTTTCAGCTGGTTCAGCACTTGGCTACCAGGAGGTCACTGGATGCCACTTTGAAACAGGCTCAGTGCTTACAGCTATTCTGCTGGGGTGAGGATGGATTTCATCCACCTGTTTGGAGTGTGAGCACCTTGAAAGATCAGCTGGCCTTTGCTACCAACACAAGGTCACTGCTATACCTGCAGGCTTCAGGAAGCATCCATAAATCAGCCTAGCCCTAAAGTTTCAGTAAACTGTGTCATTTGGAATATGCAGCTCAGCAGCTCATGCCCTCACTCTTGGGAACTACGGGTTCACATCACAGCATGACCGGGTACTGACTTCAGCTTCGTTAGGTGGGAGGAGATGCCATAGTGATGCATGTACTCAAAATACCTATTAAATATGTAGCAGCCCTGGGGGAAAGCATGGCCAGGGCTTGGGAAAGGGGAGAGGATGGAAAGACAGGGTCAGTGACTGACTAATACACGTAACTGCAATACAGGAGATGGGAAGTAATCAAAGAAAAAAATGTTGGGGTGTCATATTTCTTCGAGTAACTTGCTCTTGTGGGGAGTGATTTCTCCAAGTAGCTTTATTTTTAATTTTTGTTCATCTGTTTGCCCATGTTCAGCCTCTAAAACAGCATTTCTGGTTGAGATGATGCCAGAGTTTATGAAGATTTCCTTCATCAAGCACAGTGTGTTTCTGTACTATTCTAGGGCAAAGTTAGTCTGGTATGTCATTAGAAACCTTTATAGATGGGGAGTCTGAAGATTTCTTCAGTAACTTAATCTGTTTTTATTGTCTGATGTTTAAATCTCCTTTTAGTGACTTGTCTGGAGCCACTTTTTCTGGATATTACTCCAGTTATCTGTTGCTCTCCTGTCAGGGGCTGAGGGACAATGTCTGACCATCTCCAGCTCTACAGGAACCTTTTCTGTGTTGCATAACTATCCTCTTTTGTCATTTTAGCTTCCTTTTCTAGACTAAACAAGCCAAGACCCATCTGAAACCCAGAGATTCATCTCCTTGTTGCAACCATTGCGATTTGCAGTGTGTGTCTGCCTTGGTTCCCAGTGGCATTGCCACAGCCCAATTCTTCAGGAGGCTTCTCAGGAAAAGACACGACCTGTGTCTTTGGTTTTGGCTTCCTGGTGGTTTTGGCTCCTTCTGGTGCTGTGGGCAGGGAAGGAAATGGAGCAGAATCTGTCCTTCAAGGCTTTTTCTCTGTCTTTGTTCAGTGCAAAAGCCTGTGCAACATTCCTGGAGCAAGGCAGCCTGGGCTGGTAGTACCCTCTTTCTGAGGAAAGATGCCTGGATACACTTTTCCTCCCCTTCCTGTAGAGAGAAGGTAGAAATCTGCTCTCCTTGGGCTTTTCCCACAGGTTTCCTTTCCTCTCTGTAGGTGGGAGCTTATGTAACTGGTGTGCTGTCACAGAGGCCATCTGGGCCAGATGTCCTGCACCTTCTGGGAAAAGGAAAACAGGAGAAGGACAAAGGGCAAGTCAGCCCCCAGACACCACATCCATACCATGGTGAGCTTTGGGTTCCTTACGGTTGGATCTACACTGAAGCCCCCCTGGGTCCCCAGTGCTGAGGACAAGTTTTTAAAACTTTCACTTCATTTCTGCTTTCAATAATTCCCTGCATGTCTCAGAGGCCCCAAGGGGAATCCACATCCTGCTCAGGGACTTCCCTCCATCACTGGTGGCAGGCATGAGGCTGTTTGTAGGCTGGAGGGACACTCTGGGAACAGCACGTTTAGCTCGTTTCGCTATCTCAGAGGGGCTGATTGTAGGGAACAGCTGGTCTGGCCAGGAGAGAGGTGTGATAGCGAGATGCCAAATGAAAAGACTGAACAGAGCTTGTCCCAGCTTGCCTGCCCCTTACAGCAGATCAAACCAAAACTGAGCCACCCCAGCAGGTCACTCAGATGACAGCAAGTGCAAGTCAGTGCCTTAATTTTAAAAACCAATTTTCTTCACAGAAAAGGACCTGTTTGGAGGACTCAGGACCCTGCCTCACTTGTGCCCTGCTCTGATCCTCAGAGACTCACAGAATATTTTACTGTCCTGCTAATAATGCTCAGTTTTCTCTACCCAAGGCAATTTCTGTTGTAAATTCTGGTTGTAAATTCTTGTAAATATCATGCTGGGTATTGCTTCCTCCAGGGACATCCACCTCCTCAGCCCAGGGGCAGGTGGCCATTGCAGTTCCAAGACTGCTGGTGCTTCTCACCCCAAGGCACGTTGCAAATATTTGCCTCTCCTCCTGAACCAGCCTTGGCTCACTGTGTGGGGGAGATCAAGTTGTCAGCCACTGAATTCTGCTGGTAGAATGTTGAGGTGCTGGGGCTCTGCAAGAATTGGTCTGAATTTAGAGGACTTACATTAAGAGTCCAGTTCAATCATAGTGCTTAATGTCAGGAAAAGTCTGGGATCCACCCACCAGACCTGACTGCCTCAGTAGCAGGGAGAAGCTCTACAAGCAGGAGTATGAACACAGCCATAATCTCATTCTCCCAATAACATTTGGGTAGAGAATATTTTCTCTTTAAGCAATGAGGACAGTATAGTGTTCTTGCCCAAAGAGAGGAAGGTCATGCCATTTCACAGCCTACCTGGTTTCCAGCTGCTCTAGCTGTACAGGCAGGAACCTGCCCCAGGCCCCCTGTCACAGCCACCACTCCCCTACAGGTGGTCCAGTGCCTGCAGGGCACCCTCAGTGCTGCTCTGTGCTCTGCATGGGCAGCTGAATGGGGCCCATGCTGGCTCTGCTTTGCAAAAACAGACCCTGGTGCAGGTGAGGCCACTTGTACCCAGACTCCAAGATGTCATTGTTTGAGACTGGAGCAGCTCCAGGTGATATTGTGACTGTTTGGGTTAAACAGGCAGCTGCACAACTGGGCTTTGGGTAGCCCTTGTTTTAACTGCACACACTACAGCCTTCCCTGCAGAACAGTGCCTGGCCTCCAAGTGTGCGTAGCCAGAGCTCGGTAGAGTGTGGTTTTCTCTCCCTGTGAAGTTTGTTAGGATGTCAAAGAAAAGAATAATAAATCTGTTATGAGTTGCCATGAAAAGCCACAATCACCAAAGTGTCTTCCAGCTGTAAACCTGAAGAAAGATTCCAGTGTGTGCAACTGAAATGTTCCATTTCCATTTCAAGAATGCAGCAATTGCCTGTCACCGCACTCCAGCTGCAAAACAATATGTGTCCAGCAATGTCAAGTGTGGTTCAAAAAACACTTTTCCAACTTGCAAAATTACTAAAAGCCAACTTTTTTCCCAGCAGAACACAATGTTTTTAGCTCATCTGATCAATTTTTAATTTCCCCATGAATCTTGTTAGCCCAGCAGCAATCCAATAAACTCCAAAGGGTAGTTAGGCACTGCCATTTCTGTGGGCATTAGAGGAATAAATGTGACATGTGGAGTGATTTATGCAAGTTCACTTGTGTTTCCCAGTTGTGGTTGCAGTTCCCCTGCAGTTTCAACACTCTTCAGGAATCTTCTTGCTTCTTGCCCTACTGCTGTGCTCCTGAGTGGGCTGTCTGGGTCTCCCATCTGTGCTGCTGTCTCCCAGCCCACCCACACCAGATCAACCTGTCACTGTGATGAGAGTGGAAAAGGGAGCCAGGAGTGGGGCTAAGAAGTGTCTGTGTCAGCCCACCTGCCTGCCCAGCACCAGTGGGCCTCCACCAGTCTGCTCTGACTGAGGCAGCAAAAGGAGGAGACATCAGAGCAGGCTGGGAGAGCAGGAGACAGCAAGGCTGGGGGAGCCAGAAGCACAGAGGGATTAGGAGCTAGTGGCACTTGGAAGTTTATTTCATAAAGATGTATTTCAGAGGGAGCATTTAACTTTGGTGCATGAGGAAAATGTCTGGTCAGGGAATAAGACAGAGGCAGTCATTTTTGTTATTAGGCATCTGAAAGAATCATGGATTTCTGATGAGCTTTGAGGCCTGCAGAGCTTCTCCTGGGTCTGAGATGTGAAGTCAAGCATGGAGTGAAATCAGTTCCTGGGATGAGTTAATATTTAGCATTATTGAACGGTGAACAGGAGACAAAGGAGGGAGGAAGTCTCTGCATGGCAGTCAGGCCTTGAGTCCTGCCAGACACAAGAGTCATGGAGAGTCCCAGATGGGGACAGGAACAGTGACTGAGCCAAGGCAGCAGGAGAGCAGAGATCCCAACCATATCCCTGCAAGGGGAGAAACAAAGCTATTCCCACTGCTCCTTCAATCTCTAGTTGCTGTTGAGGATGTACTCAATGTTGTGCTGCTTGTGGAGAATCCTCATCCATTAAAAAAGTAATCAAGTGAAGCTGAGATCCCAGCAGTACTTATAAGTTCCTCCTGAATGCTAAAGTCTTTGGGATGACAAATTCCCTGGACTGCATCTCTAAAGCACATAACACAGCACAGACCTGCTTTTCCTCTGGGGTCTCTCTGACTACAGCAGGAATGTGTGGTTCTGGTGTGTCCTCCTGGGACCTGAGATGTCTGTGGGCTCCTCTCTCACACAGCTGCTGGCTGTTCCACAGGGCTCCTTGGGCAGGTTTGGCTTTGAGGACATGGAATTTCAGAATGTTAAGTGGTTTCTTCCTAATGTCTAACCTAACTTTCCCCTCTTTCAATATTTATCCATTACTCCTTGTCCTATCACTACAGTTTCTGGTGTGAAGTCCCTCTCTGGCTTTCCTGTAGGCCTTGTTCGGGTACTGGGAGGTTCCTATGAGATCTCCATAACCCTTTCTTCTCCAAGCTGAACAGCCCCATCTTTCTCAGCCCATCTTTGCAGGGAAGCTGCTCCTCTTATCAACTTTGAATTCCCATGACCCAGATGCAAGACCTTGCACTTTGCTTTATTGAACTTGAGGAGGTTTACACTGGCCCACCTCTCGAGCCAAAGCCCCCCATCACTTCCCATGCTGGTGGGGGACTGGGGAATGGCCCCAAGGGTTAACAGCCACTGCCAGCTGTGGCTCTCCAGCAGGGACAGAGAGGGCCCAGGCACCCTGCCAGGAGGTAATGCTGCTTGAGCACTGCTGGCAAAGACTTCAAACCCCTCAGCTAATTTCAGATCTTCTGTTTGTGACACATAAAGCTGCTTTCCTATCTAGGAAAGCGCTCTTCCTTGGGACTAGGAAGGGAAGGGACTATTTATTAATATGACATTGTCAAGAGTGGCACATCTGCCTTTCTGAAAGCCCTGTCTGAGGTGGCTTCATGTGACATGGTCCTTCATGTGACACTTTTCCTCCAAGGAGCCCCAAATATGCTACAGAAGATGCTGTCACAAAATGCTGGAGACACGATGCAGGACAACCACTCCCTCTTCTTCTAAGAGTCTGAGAGAATAAAAAATGCTGAATATTAAAAGCAGAGAGAAAAAATTGGGCGAAGTCATGTTTACTTTTCCACAATGGCAAAGTCACATATAACTTTTCATCTACAATAAAAATAGCTATATCTATAATACATATAGCCTTTTCTTTATGCCAGTTAAAAGAGAGTTTTAGCTGGATCAGACTTGGACCCTACATGTCAGTAGCAGAGGATTCTGCCTGTCTGTGAGGCCCAGGTAAGAAAACAGAAGTGCTTGTCTCCATCTGGAGATGCCATTATTTTTAGTTTGCCTTGGTTTAGGAGTTGCTGGGGAGCTCCTCAACCTAAGGAGAGCCACCCAGGCTCCCTTTGGTGCTCCCTTGTGGAGGCAAAGCCTCTTTTACTGCAGTAGAAGACTGAACAAAGAAATCAGGCTGGGGAGGCTGGATTCCCCATGTCTGGCCTGGGAAGGATGATGGGAGTGGAGACCTTTAATCAGTGAGGGACTTCCCGGAGTGTGGTGTTGACAGATGCCAGTAATGAGATCATGGAAGAGCCATTAGCATCAGATGACCTGATCAGTCTCTCTTTGTCCTGGGCATGTGTCTAACCCAGAGCCTCTACCTTGTAATGCACTGGATTTGTGTTGACAGCATGAGATACACATGGCCTGTGACAACACTTGGCAAGGCTGAAACAGTGTCCCCTAGCCCTTGCCATGGCCTCCAGAGACAGCTATTGTGATGATCAAAGCTGCTGGATTTAGGAAGTTTGGGATGGGGATTACTCCCTGTGTGTTGTCAGCTATATGGTGAAGTTTTACTCCTAGCTGCCTGGCTCCCCAGGGAAACAGATATATGTGGTTGTAAGGATGTCACTGTTATTATCATGACTCTTCTCAAGAAGCCACAGGGTAACAATGCATTCATACCCCTGTTGGGTAAATATGTCACAGTGGCTTGCAGACTGGCCCTGCCATTACCTGTGAATGTGGTGTCAGTGTCAGTACTGGGATTTTCATATCCTAATCCCCACATTTGAAAGTTTCAGTCAAAACTGAGAACAGGATGGGGATGAGGACTCCTTTCTGACCTTCTGGTTTTAGAGATGGGAGAGTGCTTTGTGCAGGGACTGAGAGGGCAGTGAGGATCCTGCTGTACAGGAGCTGCTGGTGCCAGGACACCAGAGCAGGAAGGGTGAGTGTCACTGGCTCCGAGAGCAATCCTGAGGCTTTGGTATTGTGTTGTCTCTGTTCAGTGTCAATTACTTGGAACTTGGTGAAATTTAGCCTCAGGACATGTTTCTTTCTCCACAATGGTTAAAAAAGCCTCAGATCTATAAGAATAAACCTGCTTATTTTCAGTCCAGAAAAAAATAAGGAATGCCATGTACTTTTGTACTGTGCTGGAGGTTTCCCTCATCACTCAGGGGATGTGCAATTGAAGATTGTGTCTCTGCTGGGCTAAGGGACACCAAGAAATTCTCATCATCACTGTTGATCATCTGACTAGAGAAGCAGAAAAGGAACACAATCTCCATGCTGAAAGTAGCAAATCCAGGCACGAAAAATGCAGTGAAATCCACAGCAACAAGACAAGCCTGTGGCACAGAAAAAATCTCCTCAGTCTCCTGTTTTGCCCTGGCACTGTCTGCTTGTTATAGCTGCAAAAGGCTGTAGGAGCACTGGGATGTGCCCTCCAGACCCTCCATGCTGGGGTCACGCAGTAGCTGATGTTACTGCCACAGCCCAGGGTCCCATGTGGCTTCCCAGAGTCTCCATCTGAGTACTCTGACCCTACAGCAAAGATGTTCCCGTGCTCCATGGGTATGTCAGGATTTCTGGACATCTGCTTGGCTGGTAAGATTGGCTGCCCCAGTCAGGCTGCCTGACATGTGTAAATTATGGACAAATGTGCTGCAATCTACAAATACCACCATGGCTGAGACAGAGAGCACGTCCCCAGGAACACGGAGAGCTGGCTGTCCTCCCCTTGCTGTGATGTTTTGTGCACATGTAGCAAATGCTTTCTGTCATTAGCTCTCAGAGACCTTCCTTATAAATCCACCTCAACTTGGCAGGCTTGCTGCAGAGAGTGGGAGTTTTTCCTTTGGTTCACAAGTGCAGTTGGGATGTGAAGCTGCACAGGTTTGCACGCTGGGCTCAAATGTTGGCACCAAGACTTAATGCACAGCTGTGGAGGAAGGGAGCAGAGAGGATGGGGAAAGGAACCAAGTATGGAAAAAGAAGTGCTTGTTTGTAAAAGAGGAGCATAGAGACAGGAAAAAAAAAAAAAGAAAAAAAGAAATGCAGAAAAATTAGTGAGGAAAGAGGAAAGAGCAGGGAATGAAAGAGGGAGTTTTAGAAAATCAGGGGATGCAATTATAGTGCTGCAGGTGCCTGCCTACACCAGACTAATGTTCAGCTGGTTCTCTTAGTCCTCTCAGAGAAAGAGAGCTGGCATCCCTCTAACTACAAACCACGTATGTGCAAATAAAACCCACAGCAGCTGAAACACCCTGAGATAACACACAGGAGATTAAATTACAAGCTAATTGGGCTGAGATGTTTTCAGAGAAATGTAAGTTTTGGCAGGAGGCAATTTGTCCTGAGGAGATGGTCTTGTCAAACCCTCCTCTTTCCCTTCTCTATTAAGCAACCTCATTCCTGCTCTGCAGAAAAGGCTGTTGGAGGTTTTCATCCTGGACAAGTCTCCAAAGGACTATGGGACCTTCTTCATCCCATGCATTAAACCAGTATTGCCCACTGCATTCCAAATGGGAACTTCTTTAGGTCCCCAATGCCAGAACACATTTCTAGTAACACGGTCAGGACCTCCTGCTCTTGTGGGCTCATTTAGTCTGGAAAATGAGAGTGAAAGGAGAAATTCAGCAGCTGTTCACAACTCCTTGATAGACAATGATAAAAATTATGGAAACAAAATCTTCTCAGGAGCACAGGGCAGTAAGAGAGGGGAAGGGGTGGTCTGCAGCTTGGGAAGGACAATAGGAAAAACATAATTTCATGAGGAATGTAGTGAGGCACTGCAACAGGTTGCAGAGAGGGAGCTCAGCCCCTGTCTGTAGGTTTTCAAAATCTGGGTAGCAAAGCCACATCTGACCTAATCTAGAGCTGTCAGTCATCTGTCTTTGAGCAAGAGCTCAAAGAACTCCCTTCCAGACACTGTGTCCACAGTTCTAGGGTTATTTCCACTCAGGCTCAGCATTTAATTTTAGCTTCTGAAACTCTCTTGCTATTATTATTTTCCTTTTAAAAAGACATCCTTAGATTGTAGCAGGTGATTGAATCTGATCCATCTTTGGTATGTTACTAAAAAACCTTTTAGTTGTTAAAACTACCCAATTTGTGTATTGGAATTGAGGTCGAGCATTATGAGTTGGGTTTTTGGGTAGAGTATTTTATTTTAATTTAAGGGTGTTTTTCCTTTTGTTAATAAAATATTCAGCCTTTAATGTCACATAGTCAAATAACAGTTGGAGAACCAATGGATTGGTGGTTCCAATTCTGCAAGTTCATTAGGAAACCCATAACATTTATCAGGTGCTGAAAGCTAACACATGATGTGTTAAATCTGTGATTTAAAATGAGCTTGATATATAATCCCTGAGACACCAGAGCATCAAGGTTAGATAAGGTTTCTCTGTGCTACACTTAAGAAAGCCAAATGAAAGCAGTTGAGGTGAGATTAACAAAAAATATTTCATATGATAGCAATTTACTTCTGACTCATACAATCTTCCCCTTTTGTTAGTCCCAAAATTAAATAGAAGAAAAGCTGTGTTTTTATGGAAAAGAAAGCTGCACATTTTTTCTCTGGATGCTCTGAAGCTGAGCTGAGCAAAATCTGATTTACTGAGATTTAGCCCTAAATCATATGGTTCCTGCAGGAATCCCACAGCAGCATTCTATTTTTTCAGGTGCAGAAGAGTTTGGTTTTTTTTAAGTTTTATTTTATGTGATTGTTCACCCTGCTGACATTTAAGGAAATGATGGTTGGTTTCCCCATTGTGTATAAAACCTTTCCCCTTCCACGAAATGTTACCTACTTTTTTCCTAATCCCTCACTGGCCAGGGTAAGTACAGCATTATTGGTTTCATACCTTGTTTAGTTCTTTCTTGGCTTCAAGAAGCTGTGGTATGCAAGTGAATTTCCAGTCTTTCAAATCTTCTCCTTTAGAATAACCCTTTTGATTCTGTTAGAAAAGTTAAAACAAAACATAATCAGAACAATTTGTTTTCACAACTGTCAGAAAACTTTCTGTAAAAGAATCCTACCAAAAATACAGGAATTTTACAAAATCGATGACCTGCTGTGCCCCTGGTCAGCAGCACTGTTCCAGAAAGGCACGGCAGCTGTAACATGAATATAGCTAAGAGCCAAAATTTAATAAAAAGCTGACAAACTCTGACAAAAGGTGAAGGAACGAGGAGTTCACGTTGTAGAGGGCACTTCCCTGTGCTCTGGTGATAACAGATTTGCTTTTCTTCAGGGAATCAACCTGGAATGAGCAGTGACATGACTGATTTGAACATCTTGCCTCCTTTCAAACAGGAGGGCTTACATTGCATTTATTTTATATTATTGCTATTACTTTGCATTGATATTATATTATTCCTATTACATTGCATTTATATTATATTATACTATGTTGTCTGTTGTCAGGGTTTTTGCTGTGGAAACTTTAAATGGTGTTTACACAACATCAGTGTTTACACAACATCAGTGTTTCTTTGAGTCCTGAACAAGAGCTTTGGGATAAAATCATTGTCCTCAGCAAGCCCTTGGCTCTCTCCCAAGAAACACATTTATGGTGTTTGCTTCCTAAGCAGGCAAAATGGTTAACAAAAACATGTCCAAAGACTGGCTGGGTTTTCTAATCACTGCCTGAAAGGTTAAAGCTTTCTTAATGCAGCTGCCTCAGGAGAGGTGGCTGTCTTTGTAGGACTGTCATATATCCCTGTTGAAAGTGTTCCTTTGTAAACTTTTATCTGCTTGTTTATGAGCTGGGAATTGATTTCTTGATGACAGTATTTCTTCAGAGTCTTCAGTATATATAGCAGATCCCTGCAGAGCCTTTGGATGCCCCTAAGGATTACAGGTAGTGACTGAAAAATGTTATTGTATTTTTCCTTTTTTAAAAACTTTTTTACTTCTGGGAATTGTGGGATGCCTCGCAAAAGCCAGAGATTTCAGTACATGCTCTGCAACTCCTGCTATATTCATTGTAAGTTGACAGTACTACAGAGAGCAAAACTGTATGTTAATTTGTAGTCAAAGTACTTTTTGTATTATTATTATTATTATTATTATTATTATTATATGTATACATTATAGGCAGGAGTAGATATGAAAAACAAATCAAGTAAAAAACCAAGGAAGCAAACGATGACATTTCCATTGTCTGCCCCAAGGACCCAGCAAGCTGCTGTCTAGATGCACTTGCAATTTTGGTATTTTCTTTACAAAAGGAATCGTTCTGCAGCATGTATGACTGAAGTCCCGGGAGCATGGATGCAGGAAGCAAGTGCAGAAGAATCACAGCTGCAGGGGAAAAAGGTAATAAATGGTCATGGTTCTCACAAGCAAAGCGAGACCTACCAAGAATCTCTTACTGCCTATATTCTCTTCTGTCTGCCAGTTTCATGGTGATAACAATATCAAAACTTCTGAAAACAGAAGTCCAGCTGTGATTATGTTAATCCAGACAAAATGGCAGGTGAGAAGGAGAGCAAAAGCCAGAGGCATCAGTCTTTGCCCTGAGAGATACTGAATGCACCCAGCTTGCTTTGGAGGGGTGGTGCTGTAGATTTGAGGACTTTCAGCTTTTTTTTCAATAGACATCTTGCCAGGTGAACCTTCAAAAGGCCCAAATAGAGGCAGTACAAACATGCAGGAAGGATAGCATGTTCAGGGCTGGCTGAGGACTGGACACTAATGTGACCAGGATTAGTCCATGTGGGGCTGGGGACATTTCACCAGGGACCTGCTTCAGTGGAAGCAGAGAAATGACAACTACAGTAAATGAGACATTATCAGTGGAACGTCTACATGGTGACAGTAAAAGACACACACTGCAGTGGTGAAATAGGGTACAGGAGGGGCTTGGTAAGATTATGCAAAATGGCAAGTCACTGCAAACAGAAGCTTCTGAACAGAGAAAAGGGCCTGGTTCCTGCCAGTGCTACCAGTCACCCACTGAGGCTGCACAATGGGAAGTGCCCTGCAGGCCTGGGAGTTGCTGTTCCACTCTGCAGGAGGGTTTGGAGGGAAGGCAAGGAGCCAGGGAATGCCAAGTGTTGCTAAGACTGTATTGGAGCATATGCAAGAAAATGGAGTAGTAAGGAACCTCTGGAGGCCTCTTGCCCAACCTCAAGCTGCAAATTGTGCAGCTTGAGCAGAAATGCCCACTTCCAGCTGTCTGTCCAGCACTGCCCAGATCTCCCATGGTGCTCATTTGGTACCTACCTACATAGCTGCTCCATGATGTACACAACCACTTAGTCATGGCCATCTTAAATGGTGCTGGGTCACATTCAAGCAGCCAAATTGTGCCTGTAGACTGGATATGAGTTGGCATGACAGGATACATGCAAGTCTGTTTCCAAGAGTGGGGATCTGGAACAATCAATCCAGTTTGACATGAACACCTAGAGACCAAAATAAGTCCATGATATAAAATAAACTCTTGAATGGCCTTCCCCTGCTCCTTCCCAAAATGTGATGAAGGAGCAAACAGCCAGACTGCCTCCAAGAAAAGCAGCTTCATACAAAAGCAAGTCCACATCCCTCCTTCAACCGGAATCCATAAGAAAACACAAAAATGATGATAGATATGCTAACCAGCAAACTGCCTGTGAGCCATAATCTTCCTTCTCTCATGTTCTTGTTTTACAACTTATCCCTTGAAAGGGTTAACAAAGCTGCAGAACAGGAGGACTCAGAGGGCTCTCAAAAGGCTTTTGATAAAGTCCAGCACAAGAGCCTATTGAGAAACTTGGCCAGGGGTGAAAGGTAAAGTCTTGTCATGGATTAAAAACTGGAGAAGAGATAAGAAGCAAAGAGTAGGAACAAATGGCCAATTCTTAGTGTGGAAAGAGATTAATAATGGATAGCTGCAAGGACAGTATTGCAGACAGGTGCTGTGTTTACTTACCACTGCCCAGCCAGGAGCTAAAATGCACTGTTGGCTCAAAATGCTCAGGATAGCCAAGCCTGGGAGATTTAATACAAACCCATGGAAAAATTAATTTAAGAGTCCAGTTCTGCTGGGAGTTATTATCACTCAGCTTGTCTTAAGACATATGACAAGAGTAAAAAGGCAAATTGGTATGAGAGGCAAAGAGTTGGCAGAGACAGAAAAATACAGGCTAATGCTAAGAAGACAAAACAAACACTTATCAAGCCATTGTCATGGGCAGCAAAATTAGTGCAACAGAATTAAAATGCTAAAAAAGTGAAAATAGGAAAAGGGAAGTTCTGAGAGCACGACATGGCATTGTATTTGGATTAACTACACTGCCACCCACATCACCTGATGCACACCAATGGATGGGAGCAAGGCAAGACTGAGACCTTTAATGAATATGAACAGCCTACACAGCTGTGCATAAATTACAAGAGCTCTCCATCCTCCTGCTCCCTGCTTAAATGAATAATCACTATCTGGACTCAGAAGAGGTACTTGTAGTTTTCCTCTGGAAATCTCTCTCATTGGAGAAAAGTTTTGCACAGGTTGTTGCTTTTTATTTTTATTGGGTAGAAATGGCAATAAATTCAATTCAGCTTCCTGAACAGGGTTTTAAAAATATATGGCATAAATTAGCAGCTAAAATATCATTGTTGCCTTTATATCATAACTAATAAACCTTATTGTGTCCATTTCACATAGAATGTCACTGCAGTACAGAGGCACTACTACAGTCAGTATTTACTTGAAGGTGAGCTACTTTACTTAGCCTAAACATGTTTATTTGGTGTGGAATGATACATCCACAAGTGTATTTCTCTTCCTTCTCTCAGCAGAGGAGGTCTAGGTGAAAACTTGAGTTTAACTTTCCATTTTCAAAGGTCAGAGCCTTTTGTTGAGTCCCTCCTCTAGTGTTTAGTGCCAGAGACAGAAATAGTTTCCAAAACTCCTGACTCCCAATGTTATACTCAAGTACAAGAGTCCATAAGTGTCCTGGAAGATGTCAAGTGGAGTTTGTTCTTGAAATGTTTTGGCCAGGCAAGAAAACATCATCTCAAGAACCACCCTTGGAAGGATGGAAAAAGGATGTGAAAATTCATATGCCCTGGTCAAATCCATCAGATGTAAAGGGAAGCTAAATAATTGAAAGCTGTTTGCTGCAGTGAAAGATGAAGGGAATTTAACCTACATTTCATGTACATATAATCTCTTTAGGATTCAGTGTTACACAATGCTGTCTCAGGAGTACATGGCATTTCTTCTGCCTTTCATTCAATTTTATTTATCTTCACTTCTGATTCTTTTGTAAGAGAATAGAGAAGGGGAATAGAGAAAAACGGACACAGCAATTAAAAAGCAGATTGTGTGTTTTCTATGGAGGGCTCTGTGGCTGCCACAAAATTGTTTGGAAATATGATGAATTGCCTTGATGACAGCATTGCTGGTTAGGTGCACAAAGTCAGATAATTAAGTGAATGCAAAGAGGCAAAAGTTGAGAGCTTCTCTGCTCTTAGAAATCTCGGACAAATTGCTTGCCCATATGATCAGATGGGTTTCCTCACATATTGAAGTCTTCCAGCAATTTGTGTTATGCAGGCTGCAGAAATTTGATAAATAGCAATGCCACTTATTCAGGTAGCATCAATATGGTGTTCTGAAGATTGATCAAGTATTGTCAGAGGAGCTGGGTTTGCTTTCTGACACATACAACAGGAACCTTCCTGTCATTTCTGTGTCCTAAGGGAATGATGAAAATGGCCTCTGCAAACAGCTGAGATTTGCTCTGAAGTGGAGAGATGAACTACTTAGGCTGGGTACAACCAACCATCAGAGGTTCCACTTTGTCATAAACATCAACTAGAGGACTTTTTCTTAAACATGATCTCTATCTGTTCTCTCCGAGACCAATTGGAAAACTATGGAATTAGCAGAGAATGAAGTTAAAACAGAACCTAAGGCTGATGATCATGTCCTCTTCCTCCCCTGCCTTCACCTATACACCAATATATTCATATAATAGAGCTGAATAATTGCAGCCTAGGGTCCATGTAAGCATCCCAATGA